GTTGAATGAGGGAAACGCAACGCAGGATAAAACTTGGCGCAACCTTTTTGCTGCCAGATCTATTTTTGTTTTAATGCTCGCACCAGATGTCACTAGTCCTGATGAAGACTTTTTGTACTACCGGTAACTGAAATATTCCTTATTACAAATACCCTTGGCATAGTTCATCCTTAATCAAAACTGGTTTTCTTTAAAAGAACATGTTTCCTTCAGATAGTTATACGACGAACACACTCGTCAACTTCTTTCACTAGCGTCTCTGAATTTCCAAATAACTTTTTTCAGGGTTCAACCGTCTATTAGTTTATTTCATAACAAAAAAAACTTACAGTTAGCTAATTTGGGGCAATAATTTGAGTCAAATGTGGTTTTGAAAAGCGGGGAAAATTTTAGCCTCGTTTCCATGTCGAGAAATAAGCTCATTTTTTTCAAGGTCAGATTTTGTGGTTAAAAACTCAAAATCAAGCTTGGTAAACAAATTTTCGTGTTCAGCACATAATTTTCATCTAGAAAAAAGTATTTACCAACTTTTCCTCGAGTTTGCTGACAGAAGTTTTATTAGCGGCTTTTTACCAAAAGTTGTCCCAGTCTAAAAGTTCAGGTTTTGAACGAGCACGTTTTTTAGGCGCCATCTTGGTTTATTCTTGGTCCCAGGTCTCACTCATTAGGGAGATTTAGAAATTATACCACGTGACCAACCTGTTCTGCTGCTAGCAGTTTCATGCCAAGTTTAAAATAGTTTGGAACAGTTTTTATCAATTTTTGCCCCTTTAACAAATACAAATTTATTTTGAAAAAATGTAAAACAAACACTGCGCGCTGTTTTCAATACTGCCCAGGGCTAATCGATGAAAAGCCGATGATTCCTGAGACCCTGACAGCAAACTGACCGACAGATTCTAATAAGACTTGATGACAGAATGGTGATAATGATGATGATGTTGATGATAAAGAAGAAGAAGAAGAAGAAGAAGAAGAAGAAGAAGAAGAAGAAGAAGAAGAAGAAGAAGAACATGATGATGATAATGCTGACGAGTGATGGTGGTGTTGGGGCTAGTGGTGATGACGATGATGATGATGAAGTTGTTGTCGATGACGGTGATGATGATGATAGTGACGATGATAGTGATGATGGTGGTGATGTTGATTTGGGGTGCGTTTTCTTTACTAAAATCTAAGTTCATGCAGATCGAAAATCCGATAATTGGAATTTTCGTTGAGAAAAGAAACTATGTATCCAAAAAGGGATAATTTTTCATTCATTTCCATTTCGACGGAATCCCGGACTGAAAGAATAACACGGCTGCTGACAAGGCCGCAAGTTTGCTGATCTTTCCTTGTATTCTGGACGGTTAGCTTTAGCATATACTGCTTAAGACGGCCGGCCAAATGAAGACAAGTCTTGAAATATGTATTGGAAAAATACAGTCTTGCAAGACGCGCCGGCGAAGTTGTGTAGCAGTTTTTCCTAGAACAACGATTTTACCACCTCGATAAAACGGATAAAATCCATCGTTTGATTCATGACTCCGGTTCAAAACCGGTCGTATAGGTAAACCGTGTTGTCAAAAAGCTGATGTATGTTGTAAGATTTGAGTTACCGCTGGCACTGTATCCAAAGTATCCGGTTCGTTTCCAACCTCGTCCCCAGGGCTTTTCCCTCAAAAAATGGGTTGAGGGAAAAGACCTGGAGACGAGATTGGTTCGTTTCGTTTCGCTTTGCTTTCTTTGAACATAAAAAATTACTAAAGACATACCCATAGTAGATTCTTCTTTGCTATTTCATTTGGCTTTTTCTGTAAGATTTTGGACCATTTTTTTTTTAATAAAATGAAAATATTCTTGTCACATGCTGTTGAAAATTAGGAGAATTCAAATGGGGAGAGCCCATGATTAATAAGCGGTTCAGAGTCTGACTAAAGCATGGAAAATAAAACCCAGCAGGTTGCTGGGGAACCCCCTTAATTATTAAGTCAAATCTAAAATAAAATATGGGGTTAATTCGAGTGTTTGAAATTTTTACAGTCGACTCCCGATAACTCGAACCTTCAAGGGAAATCGAAAAAAGTTCGAGTTATCGGGAGTTCGAGTTATCTGGAGCTCGAAGAAAATAGCCGAGAGTAAGGTAAAAAACAGTTTTTACTGCGCAGTGAACATTTTAATCACATTTAATTGTAGAAATGTCAAGTGAAAATTAAAAGATACTTCTAGATTATAAATCAGAACGTAACGTAACAAAACATAGCCTAAATACAGTGTAAATAGAGCATGCGTTTTACTGTTTTGAGAAGTAAAGCTGCTTCATGTTAGCCTGTGACAATCAACATCAGCCTCCATTAGTAAACCGTATTCTCCTACAACACGTTAATAAGAAATCCAAAATTCAATGTTTCGGACGCCAGTAGAAGGCTTTTTTCCCGACTTTTTAAGGGGTCAAAACATGGTTCGAGTTATCGAAGGTAAAATTATATAGAAAATGACCTGAGGGGAAACGAAAACTGGTTCGAGTTAGCAGGAGGTTCGAGTTATCGAGGGTTCGAGTTACCGAGGGTAAAATTACAGTAAATGTATGATGGAAATCCAGGGGAAATCGATTTTGGTTCGAGTTAGCGCGAGGTTCGAGTTAGCGAGGTTTCGAGTTAACGGGAGTCGACTGTAGTATAAATTATTACTTTTTAGTACTCTCCAAGACTGGCATTATTTTTTGCATTTCTTTTCAGCCATAACGTTCTTGTAAAAATAAACATCGTATAACGAGGCCACATTTTGCTGATTTCAGCACCCGTAAAAGATAAAACGTTCATCCTGGGGGACAAAAATATACAGTCAAAACCGGCTTTAAGGATATTTTTCTTTTTTTCGCAAAATTTGCATGAAGAGAGTGTTTAGCTTTCAACAGAAGGGATCGCTTTTGCCGGTGTACTTGTTCATTAGCATGGCCGAAGTAAAGTCAGTTGAAAACAAACAATGTTAAAACTCGAATTTAAAATACAACAGTGAGTTATTACAAGTATTTAGTAGTTTTAATTACAAATTATTACCCTCTATTGGTTCTCGCAAAAAAATGGTCCTTATATTAGCCACTATGATGTTTATAGGAAGCATTGGGTATGACCATATTGTATGACGAAGTCGGCGATTTTCCTCGTTGGGTCACTTAGGCGCGTGCACGTGTGATATAAATATAAAATAAACCGGTGGCAAATAGAGTAAAGCTTCACTTTCACTTGAAAAACGGCGTTCTTATACCATGAAAATATGTTTTTGACTCAAGAAGTATCAAAAAATATGCCGTAAGGGAAAGTTCATTTAATATGACAAGGGGGCGGGGGCATGAAGATATTGAGGGGGGGCTCCGAAAATTTTTAGACACCCGAAGGGGGGGCTCTGAAAAAATTGTTGCGCTAGGAGGGGGGGCTCCGAAAATTTGTATACTTGAAAACCAACACATGACATCATCATACAGATCGGATGGTTTTCAACTCAACAATTTAATGACCTGTGCAACTCAGCCATATCATGTGGTTTACAGATATAACAAATGTAGTCTCAGTAATTATTACACTCTTGTTCATCCTAAAAATGCTTTAGAAAATTGTATCACAACTGTATCTCAAGTTTGTCATAGTATAAACCATTGAAGACAATAACGGTAAATATATTTAATACAGTCTAGCGATCTTTCTTCAGGGGAGCAAAGGAATTGAAGGAGGAGGGGGGGGCTCTGAAATTTTTCGACTACCAAGGAGGGGCTCCTAAAAAACTGAACCGCTAGCGAGGGGGTGCTAAAATTTCAAGCTTCGAGTTTCAATATCTTCATCCCCCCCTTGTCATATTAAATGAACTTTCCCTAAAGTTCCGAAAGTAGCGAACCTCCGAAAGTGGCGAAAAAATGTCACAGGTGTTATCAAATCCCCTAAGTAGCGATGCCCCCGAGAATAACGACCCTACGAAAGTAGAGACCTCAAAAACCTATTTCCCTTTTTGCAAAAAAATAACAGATGTGATAGATATCCTGATCATTAACAAATGCCACACTGATCCGAGGTTTATCAATAATGATTATTTGACACTCCTATTCATAACTCTTAAAGTACAAGCAAACGTTACCTTTTTTCAAAAAGTATTCCTTTCACATTTTTTGCGACTTTTTTTGGAAGTGCCCATGTGAAGTACTCGTTTTAGCCATCCGAAAGTAACGACTCCCCGAAAGTAGTAGTGATAGCAAAAGTGTGCCAAATCCGAAAGTAACGAGGATAGTTCTCGTTACTTTCGGAACTTTACGGGAACTGACCATAACTCTTAGTCTATTTTACTTTGTAATTTCAGATGTCTATGAGTTGTTTACCATATTTTATGAAATAGAAATGTTAACGTCATACACTGTTTTAAAGAAGGGGAATTCAAGACAGGACACTCCCTTATTAATAATTTCTAACTAAAAGGGGAAGAAAGCCCGCAAGGTACGGTGGCCTGACGGTGGGGAACCCCCCTAATTATAAAGTCGAATTTTTAAAATACAGCAGTGGTTTAACTCAAATAAATAGTATAACCTACCGCTTTTTTTAGCACTCTCCAAAACTGGGATTTTTCAGCCGTGACATTATTGTAGAGGTAACAGACAAGATATGAGTTATATTCGGAGTGACTATCGCATGACAAAGCCACATATCAGCTGACATATTGCTCGTTTTCAGCCCCCAGACAATGCGGCCATACTGCTGGACAAAACAATCATTTTTTTTTCGAAAAATTTGCATAGCGGAAGTGAAGTCAGCTTAAAACCAGCAAAAATAAACTCCAATTTAAAATACAGCAGTGGGCTATTTAATAGTTTTTAGTTCAACTTATTACCCTCTATTAGCACTCGCCAAATAATGGTATTTTTTCAGCCATGATATGTTTATAAGTTAGTGAGGTATTTTCAGTATGACCATTGTATGACGACGAAGGGGATTTCCCTATTTTTGGGCCGCTTATAACCGCATGGACGTGTGAAATGCAAATAAAACGAAGCAGGAAAGTTAACTTCGCTCACTGGCTTTTACTCGAGATGCGTCGTTCTCAAGTGGTCATTGAGCGGTGAGCTAGATATGGATTCACTATTGAAACCTTTTAAGTGTACATTTTGCTCAAAGCGATTTACCACCGATAATGGAAGTGATGATCATCAAAGAGCCGTACATAGTGTTACGTATTCACAACTGAAACCTTTTGCGTGTACGATTTGCCCGAAACGGTTCGCCACAGAAAATGACCTAAAGCATCATGTGGAAAAAGCAAGCCAGAGGTCCAAGAGGCATAAGAAAATGATAGGTAATAACTATCAATCGTAAAACTTTTACTTATTCTGCCAATACGTACCTAATACAAGTGTTCATACGCAAGTCCTTATATAGTGTCTTATATAGTACGGTATGAAGAGAAACTTCAGTGAGCCTTCAGACGCTAGCCGGAAGTGGACCTTTTGCATTCTTGAGCAATTGTTTTGCCCGAATCTTTTGAAAATTTAAAATGTTTCAAGGCACATGAGGAAAAGGTGATACTACCTTGGTACCTTGGTGTTTTTCCCTTGTATCTGTTAAAAACCGCAAGTCACACGGGATTAAAAAATGAAACTGAAAGCAATATTTAAATTACTTTTCAAGAATGACGTAATTGTTTAGTTGCCAGATATATCAGGTGAGGGAGCGCGGAGGGCTGGTCGATCATTTAAGGTCTTATTCCCTTGAAAACGATCTACAATAAAGATTTTCAAACTTGGCACAAATGTCAGCCATATATAGGACATTCACAAACTGCAATATAAACGTGGAGCCACCGTACTTGTTTTCGCCCCGTGTGCCCTCCGAGCTAGTTGCGCGCAAAAAGTATGAATCAATGTTAAGCCCGTTTGTTTTGTCTGAGCTATATTTTTTCAGATAAGACACCTCAAATTACCTGGTGTTGCCATAACGAGTAAAAAAAAAAAACACAAATAAAAACGGGCGGTTACCCTTCTCGTTTCATCTCAAAACGGCAACTAAGGGATGATTTTGGCTTTAAATGATCATTTTGCGCGAGGGGACTGGGGCCAGTTTCAAGACAAATACGAACCTTTTTCAGCCGGGTAAAATGATCACAATCACTATCGAAAGCGTTAGGACTACAAAAGAGGCCTTTGTTACCTCTTTTTAGGCGACCGGTGAAAGTCGCCGCCACCTTTGAAGTCGCAATGTGATGCGCACTAGGTGATGCGCCGTGCAAAAAGAGGGAATTACCTGAAAGAGGTTGCGGGACGGGTGACTGAAACGGTTCAAATTTCTTTTCGATTCTTTCATTTTGTTTGACAATGATGGTCATGAAAAAAGTTTTACTACTGCATCTAGCAAAATCAGTGGGTTTAACGCAAGCCAAGCAATGTATTAAAGGCTTAAATAAAATAAAAATTGAAATGCACGAAATTTAAGAAATAATCGTCAATTAACCTATGGTATTCACTTTCATGGAAAGCTAATGTTTCGTGAGGATTTTGTCGAATTTTGAGATTATTCAGAGACAGGGAAAGGAACTATACTCCTAATTCTATAAATTTATTGCATTTAGCGCTGAAGATGTAGTTTAATTTGGGCTTCCAATCCTGTCATGGGAACACGGTAGTCATGGTCTGTTTACTAGCTGTGGTCAAGTAGAAAATTCGTAACGAATTTGAGTAACCTAATTTTTTTTCGAGTTTCAGGTGATATACCTTGTAAATATCCATTTTGTCAACGTAAATTTCGATCTGGGGACGAGTTTGCCTCCCGCGCCCTAAAGCAACATATGGAAAACCCAGGCAATTGGCATAAGAGAAAAGGTAATATTAGCAATTATAAAACTTTTAAGAAGGAGAATTGAAACACCAGAAAGCTCAGAAAAATTTTCTGAGCTCCAGGTGAGAATCGAACTCACCACCCTCCGAGTTCTAGTTAGGACGCTCTAACCACTGAGCATAAACGTTTATTTATACTTGAGTCGTAATGGTATACGGCATGATGGGTCAATGAGTCATTTAAACAAAAAAGAATCCCTGAATGCTAAACATTATGGAGTTAGTGTTTAAACCTGCCTAAAAACTATAGACACTCTGGAATACTCCCTATAATGGCCTATACGGGGAGGCTCCGCCCGAAAGGGGTACCTGTTTCAGGCTGAAGGTATATGATAGGGTAGGGATTTCACTATTTGAAGTATATAAAAGGGTAGGGAAATCTATCATTTCGGTCTGTAAAATGGCCCAAAAGGGCTAAAAGATGAATTTTATGGCTTATAAAGTCGACAAAACGTTCTATTTTTGCGATTGATTCATATTTGAAATACAGCGCATTTACAGCAGTTAAAATGGATGCAAAGTTCTAAACAAGGTATGTGAAAGGGGTACAACTTGTCAATAGAAGGTATATGAAAGGGGTACCTTTTTCGTGAAAAATGGCATACGAAAGGGTAAGGGGTTGGACCTCGGTACGGAGCCTCCCGGTATATTTTGTTGAGTACCCTCCCTGTGCCTACCCTGCATGCTTTTCAAAATTCTTGTCAAGGTGAAATGTTGTGCCAACAAACTCATAGAATATTTACGATTAATCAGGCGGTCCAGTTGCCTCCTAAAAACTACAATTTGTAACAGTGACTTATTTAGATTGTTTTTCGAGTTTCAGGTATTATCACTAACACCCCCAACAATTCCGGCGTTTCTTCCTCGAGGGAAGAAGGAATAGGACTCTTTGATGAAGGTTGTTCCAGCGGCGCAGTCAATATATTCATACGCGATGAGCTGCAGGCAGATAAAGAATTTCATGGTCTTTATGATGATGCTTTTGATTCCTTGTACAAAGAATTACAAAGAGTCTTAAAGAATACATTCTATGGGATTCAAAACTTGACCGAGGTTAGTGGTGAAACAGCTCAGTCACCACACCCCAAACTTGAGAAAGACGCCGGGGTGATAGTATCATTGTAGATGTCGTTAATTTTCAATAATATCCCTAGACTAGGAGATACCTGATGTCTTTAAAAAGGGCGTGGCACGCGAAAACCAGCCAGTAGAATTATTCTTCAAAATACTAAAGGTGATAGTCTTTAATACAGCGAAAGATACTAAGAATTCGTAAAATTGGAAACGCATGTAAATGAGTGCTAGCCTCAATACCAATCGCTGATTTTTACCTCTAAGAGGGACGATTAGCATGTGCGATACTTTTTCCCTAGAGTGATGATCCCGAGAGGTTTCTGCAACTAGGGTCTCCCCTCTTGGTGAATATATACTATTTATCAATTATTCCACGACTGCACGTTGGATATGAGATGGTAGTAGCTAACGAGGTGCGTACCGCCAAGTTGGCTATAATCACCTCACATCCACCAAGCGTCAGTGGAATAATTGTTTATAACAAGAAAGTAATAAAAAATGCTATGATTAGGTTCTACATGTCTGCCTTGTATTCGTAGGGTGGATCCATTGCAAAAGGCACTGCCTTAAAAAACAACTCCGACCTGGATTGTGTGATGATCACGAAGAATATAAAAGACGCTTCCCAGTTAAGAGCAAAACTACCCGACATCCTGTGTGATCTAAAGAAACGTTTGGGGAGCAGTATAGGGGTCAAATGGAAACTAACTTTCGAAAAGCAAACGTCATTTTCGTTGCAGTATAACATGTCACGTTTTTCCAAGCCTGGAGACACTGTTAAGGTTGACCTCTTGCCAACGTTTGATGCAAAAGTAGAAGGCAACAATGGTACGTAGTTATTAGGGAGCTTATGCAGCGATTGGTCGCAGGAAACAATGACATGTAATTCTTCCCATTGTTTTAGTATAGTTTGGGGTCAGGGAAAAGCACCATTGGCGACTTCTCTTCTCGTGACCCCACGTTTTGTTCGACCCACGTCAACCGGAAGTGGACGTTTTGCACTCTTGAGTTGAACAACCTTCTAAGAAAATCGCCTCTGTATTAGTCATGGGTAGCGTGACCATTTTGACAAGTACGCACACGGGTTAATATGGTCTTAAAAACTTCCTAAAAAATAACGTTTTTGCTTTCCTTTAATGCATAATTCATTGGCAGTTTACAGGCTTGTTTACAATAGAAAGTGATATCAAAAAAAAGCTTTTAAAACGTTGTTCTTTGAGCTGGTACAGGAATGTTTACCAGCACAAGAAGAGGCGCCTTTTTTGCGCAGAAATTTGGAGTTTAAAAGCATCTGTTGGAAGAATTGCGGCATATGAATGTTTGTGTAAATTTTCCGCACGCTTAGTCCTTTGCTGACTTTTTCAGTTTTTCAGTTCCCTTATTTCGATCATGAGTACGGGAAAGGAACAAATAATTGATAGTCGGCATTTATTTATTTCAGTTGTTCTGAATATCTCTAAAGTTTGTCAAGACTTTGAAAAAATTACGTACATCTGTTCGTTAGAAGTAAATTTACTAAAAAAATTCTTGTTGACACCACGTCAGACGGGCACCTAATAGTTTTCTTCAGCTGACGTGGATTATCGTCAGCATAGTTTGGTCCATGACTTTCCAATCGAGCGACATTAAAGTAGTCTTTGATAGACTTTTTCGAAATTTATGGAGAGAGAGAAAACTAAAAAAAATGAAAAGCTTCTGAATGGGAAAACTTTCCAGATAAATCTTAAAAGGAATGATAATCAGTCTGGGTCGATTCTTTTGCGATTTTCATGAATACGCAATGTATTGTGGGATTGCCTGAAGGCAAGCATTTCAAGAATGTTTCGAATATTTCACATTCCACTACTCAAACTGCTGTATTTTACGAGTAAAAACGATGCTGAATAACAGCGAGACAGACAGGAACAAATCTGCATAACACCAAGTCAAGTTAGGACACTGCAAATGGCTTTTGCTTATGACAGAAAATCTTTAAAAAAAATCCTACCAAACTCTCAAGTACGCACGTGTGTCATGATTTGCCTAAAGGACGCTACGCCCCTAAGAGTAAAGACACTTACCCATACAAATTTGGTAGAGTCAAGGCATATTAAAAGAGAAAAAAGCTCACTTCCGGTTGACGTGCTTCTCTCAAAAACGTTGCTGCTTAAGCCCCCAATCAAAGCGCAAGGTTGTAACCTTGCGTTCATGGAAAGTGTCATTCGCAGTTTAGTTAGTGTACGGCTTTCTGAGCGAGAGGCCCAAGCTCGAATTCCATTTGTAGCCCACGGCACATAACTGTTTAACTTTGGTGTAACATCTTGAACTTTAAAAAAAATTTTGGTTGACCTAAATATCATCAATGAACTTAGTAATGTGCTCAAGAGTCCTCTTGGATAAAGACCACATCGTCGCTCCAACTAACACGAGAATGTCTCCTCACCAGGGTCTCTCGCGTATTTTTTGCTGTTTCACCTGTTTTTTGTTTTTTTTGTCTTTTTGCCCCCACTACGGAGCCTGGTTCCAGGCTACGACCGTGTCAAATTCGCCACCCTATAGATGCTTTCCCCTAACAATAGCCACAATCATGGCGAAAAAAAAGCTGTTGACGGCTAGAAACCTGGTCTCTTTCTTTCTACCGGTGTCGTGTTTATGTCTTGAGGCTTAACATCGATAGATGCAACCCACGTACAAAATCTTGAGAAAAACGTTTCATCCGCTTTTTGTACAAATACTTTTATGACGTTTACTGAATCTGAGAAGAAATTAAATATTCTTTGTCTTAAAAGGAGAGGTTTATAAAGAAATGCTTCGCGATACCGAAGAGAACTGGCCATACTACTCGGCTGCTCTTGTGAAGAGACAAAGAGACTTCGTCAAAGAACGGCCAGCAAGCGTTAAAGACCTGATTCGATTGGTGAAGTACTGGAAGAAGAACTACATTCCACAAAGTGGTAGTGAGCGCCTCCCGCCCTCTTATTTACTAGAGCTTCTCACAATACATGCCTGGGAAAATGCAGATCGTCCAGAGAGCTTTGACATGAGGATTGGTTTTAAAGCTGTTATGAAGGATCTAAAGAGTCACCAAAGTCTTCATGTTTCTTGGGATCGATACTACAAAAGGAATTTAATTCCAAGCAGGTACTTTCATGGGGTGTTTAGAAATTAGTTTTACCAGGATTAAAGGAGCCGTAGTTTACATTCTCGAAGACAGGTTATCTCGGGTGTAGTCTTCCACGTAGGTGTTTTTTTCTGGTCAGGCAACGCTCCTCCTCAACAAACTAGAGAATGCTTTGCGTGACGAGGCAAAACCGGCTGCGTGGAAGACTAGCCTGAGAAAACAGCCGGCATTTCGCGACGCCACCACCACTATTACGCATCACTACCCAGATCTGAGTAATGCGTCTGATTGGTTGAAGCAAATCTCCGACGCGGCACGACCAATAAGAAGCAGTATCCAGATCTGGGTGGTGACACGTCATCAGTATGGAATTTCTGCGGTCGTTCTCAAACGTCGTTTCTTGGGGAAACCACTGGTGGCGTCGCGAAATGTCGGCTGTTTTCTAAGGTTACACGAAAGACTGGACGGGAGACTATCTCGGATGGTACAAACCCACATAAGAAACGTTACTTTACGTTAAGAGGACATGTATGTTTGTCCTCTCAATCGCGACATTTACATTTACATTTACACTTTCCACTCCCCTCCTTCTGGGTGCTATTTCTACTATATTTCAGCTCGTTGCTATATCTGCCAGGAATGTCTCGCGAATGAAGAAATTCGAAAAACGCTCTGTTAATTTGTTTCCCAAATTTTTGTTTTATTGTAGAATTTTTAATACTTATGGTATATTTCGTTTTTTGGGCATTTCAGTCTTATGGATGGGCCATATATAATTGACCCAGCAAACCCGACCAAGAACCTGTACAACGATGTTAACTGTTGGCCTAAGGTGAAAGAGGTTGCTGAAGAAACCATGTGGAAACCCCTTCTCAGTGGCGTAGGGGCTACTACTAACTGGAGATAAAGAACCACGATTCTACAGGGTCGTCGTACCTAGTTTTAACAAGAAAAAACCCTTCGAGAAAAGCATTAGTTAGATTTAGAATAAGTAGTCATCAACTTAGAATTGAAACAGGTAGATACGAAAACATTCCTCGCAATGAAAGGATATGTCACTTTTGTACAAGTAACAAAATCGAAGATGAAAATCATTTCTTACTAGATTGTAAGGCTTATTCTCAGATCAGAGACATATTTTTCTCCAAAATAGAAACTAAAATACCTGACTTCAAATCACTTTCACACGATACTTTAATATCTCTTCTTATGAATTCTTCTGATTATTTAATTAACTGTCAATTAGTTTCATTTATCTCGCAATGCTTTGAATTACGGACCAAATTAATATCAATGAATGAATGAATGAGAACTGTCACGTTTTGTAATGTTTTGCACGTACTAATTAGTTGAATTAGTGCTTAAATTTAGACTAATAGCTTTTGCAATACTGTAATTCCTTTATGGTCATGCAAATAAAGCTTTTGTTGTTGTTAAAAAGAAACTTTGGGGTTTTGCAAATATTTTCGCAGACATAACAGCTGTTATCAATGGATAAATATGCTACAAGTTTTCAGTTTTTTTTCGAAATGTTTTTTTCAGCTCCAATTTTGTTTGTTTGTTTGTTTTTTTTTTTTAGAGACATTAGGGTTTTATTTTGGGTCTGTTGTATTGCAACGTTCTATTTAGCAACAACGCATTAATTGCATCATCAACTATGTAACCGCGTGATATCTGTTTAGAACATTTATCTAGTAAAGCTCTTAGTAAGATACCAAGTCTCCACGTTCTTGAGAAAACCGAGACCTTAACAGCGTCAAAATGTGAAAAGAAAATGGTGCTCAATGACATTTTGAGGTGGTTGCCGCAAGGCCACTTAGATCATTTATCAAATTTCTGATTTCATCTGGCAGTCATCTTGTATTTTCCAAAGGGGTTCACTGTCCTATGTTTTTGGTCAAAATCTGAAATCTGCCAGTTTCAGGGTGGTGAGAGGGCCACCAAAACCATTTATACCAAGATTTTGATTTGGGCCTTTTTTCATCTTCGATTTTTTACCAAATGGGATAACCTACAATTCGGGTTATGGTCACACGATACCTGATAGCTTTTCCTCCCAACACAAAAATCTATCCAGTTTAGTTGAACAGCAACGGTCTGGGAATGGAGCAAGTCGTTTACACACATCGAACATAGTGTTGGAGCAGCCTCCTCCTCAGGCGCTTCGTTTTTCGCAAGGTAGAGGCCAGTAACTGGTGATGAACCGCAAGGGACCATGGGTAGGGTGTCTCGCCCGTTGTCTCCTTTCCGCCTTCCTTTGCGTGCATATTTTCATCTCGAGAGAGAGACCTCCGGGTACGAGGCAGGAGTTGCAGCGGTTGGTCGCTTTTGGCCGAGAGGGTTTAATGCACTAGATGTCAAGCTTCACTCCTGATCTCAGTGGGTTCCAGTCCTCGTTTTCTCTACGGTCTGAATAGCTGATCACACTGCACTAAAGTGTGGCACACAACATTTCCGATATGTGACGCTCCACTTTTGAGACCGGCGCGGCAGAGCTTTGCTCCGTTAGGTGTAAACAGAAGCCCTATCCGATATGGTTTTCGTGCCGGCGTAAGAGGTATCCGGTATAGTATACCTATCCGATATGTGACTCTCCACTTAAGAGATCAGCGCGGCGCATCTTCATTTCGTCACAGAAATTGCGCCAAAATCACATTTCTTATATCTAAACAGAAGCCCTATCCAGTATGGTTTTCGTGCAGGCGCAAAAGCTATATCAGGTATAGAGTGAACATAGCCTCAGTATGTTAAAACTCATATTCCCTCGCCCCAAATACATATTAAATAGCCATGGTAAAACAAGTTTCTCACAGGGATTTATTCATGCGTCCTCAAATCAGCAGTTGCAATAAAAACAATCACTACAATTCAGTACTGTGTGTAACACATTATATATATTAATCCCATAATTCTTGTGAGGAGGTTAATGTTTTTTCCGGGTATATGGAGGCAAGGATTAAAAGAGAGTTAAATAAAAGCTCGTACATCTTGTTTGTATCATACAGTCGACTATTTATAACTTCGTTTCCTTAAATACAAGATGAATGTGCAATCTCGTTCCCAGGGTCCTCTCCTAGTCGTGCCTCGCGAAGATGAGTAGGGGAGGAACCTGGGAACGGGGTTGGACGAGAGTGTCGGAATGTGTAGGTGATATCATCACGCTTGGAGCCTGCATTACGCCCAACGCTGCTTGTTTTCAACGAAGGAAAATTGAAAAGATAACAAATAAGTATATATACTGACAAATAGAAAATACACAAGAACAAAGAACTCACCCAGCAAACCTCTTTTATCCGCGAAGTAAAGGGGCGAAACCCACGATCTGGAACGTTTAAAAGTTGTTCTCTCACTTATATTCTCTTCCGCTGTTAACGTCAGGGTCAGAATGGAGTCCTCATTCAGTTTAGATAAGATGTCCACACGATAGCCTCTGAACATGTTGTCTTGTGGGGTAGAGGATTAAGCGGACAAGGAGGAAAAGGGGCGAAAGGACAGAGGAAGAGGCTTCTGCGTCCTTTAGCACGCTTCCGCTTGATCACAACGAAGGGCAAGTCCAGCGGTATTGCTCTGCTCTGTAACAAGGTAAAGTTGACTCTCCTCCAACAGTGAGAAATATCGTCTCGTAGACTGGGAGTAGTCTTTTGTTTTCCTTATTGCTAGTACAGCGAGTGAGATACTAAGCGATTGCCGGCTTGCGAGGAAAAACGCCTGCACTACGAGCCAAGGTGGAGAGAAGGCGAGAAAGCGCGAAACAGACCTGAAAGGGACAGGGCGAAACGAAAGAGAAGACTAGTCTCGATTTCAGACGTTCGGCTGGTAACAGAAAAAAGGCACGAAAGGACGAAAGAGGCAAGGCAAAAGGCGAAGACTAAGGGCAAGAAAGCGCCGAAAAGGCTTGGAGAAGGCAAGAAAGCGCGAACTGATCACACATTTTCTTTCACCATGTCTTTGCTAACTGATCTATGGCAAGTTAAAAATTGATGGTCGTTATTCAAGAAAACGTTAGATCTTTGTCTTAAATCTTTAGGGGTCTTAAGAAGACTGATTAGCATCAATCTGTGGGACGAGCAAATTGTTCAGTGTATCGTCCTAGCACAAGATTCATAAAGCACTCATGAGTCATCAATTTCGGTGGATACATACCATTTGTCGTTACCTTTCTTTACAGTCTAATCAATACTAGCAATGGGTTCTTTGCCACGGTAATCCTGGAGATGCCTTAATCAGTGCGTATCGATTCTGTGCTATCAGATGCATTACCAATCACACACGGAGTCCCCCAGGGAGCGATTCTTTCGCCGCTCCTCTTCTGTATTTATCTAAACGATCTGCCTGGCGCTCCTCAATTCTGCCGGCTCGAGTCATACGTCGATGACTCTAAAGTTTTGCTATCTTTTCCCGTAGCCGATGTCATTGACGCTAAGTTCAAGCTCGAAGATGATTTGCGCAATGTTGCCACCTGGTGTTGCACAAATGATTTGTTAATAAACCCTGAGAAAACGAAGTTCATGTTGATCGGCACCAAGCAAATGATAAGTAAACATTCACTTAATTTTACTGTTTCGTTAATTGGAAAGACTCTTATGGCTGTCGAATCAGCAAGAGATCTAGGAGTATACATAGATTTACACCTGACCTATGACACTCATATCTCCCACTTAGTCTCTTCTTGCTTGACTAAACTGGTTCAGATCAACCGCGTGAAATATTGTTTTGATAGAAAGACTTTGGTTTTAATTATTACATCTCTTGTCTTCAGCAAAATGCTCTACTGTTCGACCGTGTGGTCTAATACCTCATCTAAGAACATCCAAAAGCTACAACTTATTCAGAATTTTGCCTGCAAAATTATCTGCGGCGCTCGGAAATATGACCACGTGACGCCATTACTTGACGAACTCAACTGGCTTCCAGTTAGCAAGATGCTCAAATTCAGAGACGCTGTTATGGCTTATAAGTGTGCCAGCAATTTAGCTCCTGAATACCTATGTGCTAAGTTTAAAAAACGATCTTCTGTACATAATTGCACAACCCGTAATAATGAGAAGTTCGAAATCCCATTATTCAGGTCAGCCACTGGCCAACGTACCTTCGCCTACAGAGCAGTATCCCTGTGGAACACGTTAGACGAAAACCTTAGAAACGCTACAACTGTAAAGGCCTTTAAGAAAGCCCTGAAACTTGTACTGAATGAATGATCGAATGACAGTTAGCATTTAACAATTATTAGCTTGTTAGATATAGCTTGCATTTATATTTGTAAATAGGTACTGAAAAACCTTTTTTTTGGGAGTATTTATTAAAGTTTTAATTTAATTTAATTTTAATTGATGGCCGTTGGAAACCAGAAGAAACATCTGTTTTGAGTTTTCCTATTTGTGCGTGAATTTCATTGCTTGACGAACTCTACAAACTAATATTTATTCTGAGACAAGGGATTTTTACCTAAAAAAATCGGCAACTTTTTTTAACCAACATAAGAGCTTTCCTGGCTGCCAGCTAAATTCCGCCTCACACAAAAGCCTGAAAATTCAAGCATCCTCTGATCGCAAAACGAAGAACTCTTTCGAACCGAAAATTTGTTTAAATAAAGGTGTTTAGGTGCTGTAATACCTCATGAAAGTAGCTTCTTAATAGCTTCTTAGTTTGAATTTTGGTGACGTCATGTGAAAACCGAGAATAACACACCTTTAATTGTCGAGTACCCCCTCACGGGGGGTGGGTAAAAGTCGGGAGAAGTAGAGAAAAATCCGGCACATGTCTTCTTAGCCTGATTCTCAGACGTCTGAGGTCGTTCGCTGTCCCTTCGCTTCCCTCCCTCGGACGTCTGAGAATTAGGTTGACAAGATGTGCCGAATTTTTCACTACTTCTGGAATCTGCCATGCCGCTTACGAGACTTTTTTATGCCGTAAACAAAGTCAAGCATTAAAAAATACGTGAAAGAACCAACAGAGGTTAAATCCGTCTTCCTGGAGTCTAATTATGACTTGTTGGGTCCAATTTAACTGAACACATGTTCCGTCTTTCAATTGCCATATTTGGTTTCTTTTCTCGTCGCGAGTGTGATTCATGGCGAGCTTTCACGTTTCTCGAGTACTCTTAAACTCCTCAATGACTGCAGTATCTTGTTTAACAGACGTGAAGTTGAAACCCATTCGTTCCGTCTCGGTAGGTACATTGTATATGAC